TGGGGCCAGGATGTGGATCCAGGGCACTCCAAGGGGCTGGGATAGAATCTGTGGGTCTCCATTGGACTCTGGGACTCCATAGGGCTGGAATGGACCTCTGTGGGGCCTGGACACAATTCCAGGGGTCTCTCTGGGTCTGATCCCACCCCCCAGGTCTCCACACAACGCAGCGGCTTTATGGCTGTGACCTCCTGTCCGACGGGAGCGTCCGTGGATCCAATCGGTACGGCTTCGACGGGCGGGATTTCATCTCCTTCGAGCTGGGATCCAGGAGCTTCGTGGCAGCCGATGGAGCTGCCCAGATCACCAAGAGGAAATGGGAACATGATGGGATTGTGGTGGACCATTTGACCAATTACCTGGAGAACATCTGTCCAGAATGGCTCCAGAAATATGTCAGATACGGGCGGGAGGTGCTGGAGCGCAAAGGTGAGGGAGACAGAATTGCCATGGGAATGTGGGATTTGGGAATGTAGGATTTGGGAGAGTGGAACTGAGGAACATGGGCATTCCTGTGGGAATTTCATGGATGAATCTGAGTCATCCAACTCCCGTGGGAATTCCATGGATGGATCCCACTGTTGTCCTATTCCAGTGGGAATTCTGTGGATGGATCTTATCCCAATCCCATTCCCATGGGAATTCCATGGATGGATCCCACTGTTGTTTCATTCCAATGGGAATTCTGTGGATTGATCTCACTGTGGTCCCATTCCCATGGGAATTCCATGAATGGATCTCACCCTTATCCCACTCCAGATCCCCCTGATGTCCACGTGTCCGGGTACGAGGAACACGGGATCCTGACGTTGTCCTGCCACGCGTACGGATTCTACCCCGGGATCATCGGGATCAACTGGATGAAGGGGGATGAAATCCGGGATCAGGAGACGGAGTGGGGCGGGATCGTTCCCAACAGCGATGGCACCTTCCACAGCTGGGCCAGGATCGAGGCGCTGCCGGGGGAGCGGGAGCAGTACCGGTGCCGGGTGGAGCACGCCGGAATGCCGGAGCCCGGGATCTTCGCCTGGGGTGAGCCTGGGAACGGGCAATGTGGCAACTGGGCATGTGGGAACAAGGAATTTGGGAGTGTGAGGCAGCGGGATGGGGGTAACCCTCCCCCTGCTCACCCTCCCGCCCTTCCCAGAGCCGGAATCCGTCTGGAATTCCACCCCGGTGTTGGTCGCTGTGTCCGTCATCGGTGCCATCATCGTCATCATCGGCCTCATCGCAGTCGGTGTCTGGAAGCTCCGAGCCGGTAACTCACGGGATGGGGATCGGGAAGGGGCCTGGATCCGCCCGGCAGCATTCCGGGGATCCTGTGCCATGGGTGCTGATCCTGCTGATCCTGTGCCACGGGTGCTGATCCTGCTTTCTTTCCATAGGGAAGAGGGAGGGCAATGGATACGACCCCGCGCCCACCAGTGAGTACCAGCAGCGTGGGTGGATCCAGATCCTCCCTGCAGGGATGCCAGGATGGATCCCGGGATTCCAGAGGGGATTTGGGGCATAATGGATGGAGTGGGATTGGAACAGGATTGCAGCTCAGGGCAGGATTGCAGAGTGGGATCAGGTGGAATTGTGGGCTGGGATCAGGGCTGGATTCTGGAGTGGGATTGGGATGGGATGGACGGAGCAGGATCAGGAGGGAATCCGGAGCAGTTGCTGCTCTCCATGGGCTCCCCAGCTGGATCCATCCCCTGGGATGGGCACAGGGACATGGAGACTCCTTTCCCCACTCTCATCCCGACAGAAATCACGGCCTGAGCGATCCCAGACCTGGATCCGCCCCTTCCCTGTTCCTGCGGAAAGGCAGGAGCTGCTGGCAGAGCTCATCCCGCTGCTCCCTCCCAGCCCGGACCCCCTGCGGCTCTTCCCGATGGATCAACTTCCTGCTTTTCCATGTGTGAAACCCAGGAGCACAATTATTACTGATGCTTTATTGTGGTGTGAAAATCTCCTGCTTTGGGCAATAAATCCTGGTTCCCTCCTCTGGCATCCGGCAGTTCCTCTCTGGGAACCAGGAATGGGAATGGGGACAGGGATGGGAACCTCAGGAATGGGAATGGGGACAGGAATGGGAACAGGGGAGATGGGTATGGTGACACTGGGGACAGGGATGGGGACACTGGGAGCAGGTTGGAGACACCAGGAACTGGGAATGGGGACATCAGGACTCGGATGGGAACACCAGGAATGGGAAGGGGGACAGGGATGGAGACCCCAGGAGTGGAGGCTGTTCAGAAGGGCCGGGCAGGAAAGGAGGGGATGTGATCCTGGGTCAGGACAACCCCTGGGATCAGTCCAGGATGGGCATGAAGGGATCAGGAACAGCCCTGGGAGAAGGACCTGGGGGTGTTGGTGGGTGAGGGGCTGGACTTGCCCCATCCCAGAAACCCCCCTGTGTCCTGGGCTGATCCCACAGCAGGGAGGGGGGAATTCTGCCCCCTCAGGTGAGACCCCACCTGCAGAGCTGCCTCCAGCTCCGGGATCCAACAGCAGGAGGACGTGGAGCTGCTGGAGAGAGTCCAGAGGAGGCCCCGAAGCTGCTCCCAGGACTGGAGCCCCTCTGCTCTGGAGCCAGGCTGGGACAGCTGGGGGTGCTCACCTGGAGAAGGGAAGGCTCCAGGGAGACCTTGGAGCCCCTTGCAGAGCCTAAAGGGGCTCCAGGAGAGCTGGAGAGGGACTGGGGACAAGGGATGGAGGGACAGGACAAGGGCTGGTGGTTTCAAACTCAGAGAAGGTGGATTCAGACTGGATATGAGGGAGCAGTTTTTATGAGGACGGTGAAACATGGCCCAGGTTGCCCAGAGAAGCTGTGGCTGCCCCATCCCTGGAATCATTGCAGGCCAGGTTGGATGGGGCTCAGAGCAGCCTGATCCCAGTGAGGGTGTCCCTGCTGAGTGCAGGGGGTTGGACTCGCTGGGCTTTAAAAGTCCCTTCCAACCCAACCCATGCTGGGATTCACTGATTCCCTGAGATGTTGGCATTCCCTTTCCAACGGGGAATGAATTCCTCTTTGTTCTCCTCCCTGAGTTTCTTTGCAAAGAAGGGATCTCATCTCTGGGTCAAACTGCTGACTGACCCCCAA